GGAACAGAGACAGGACTGGAACTCAGGTCTGGGCCAACAGAAGCAAGCCCACTGAGGATCCAAGGCCTGGGTTTTTTGGCCTGGGGAATCGCTGTAAGAAGCCACTCCCACACCCACCTCTACCCGGTAAGGTGTGTGTGGGGGGGGGGGGGTGGGGAGAGGGAGGACTGGGTGTGGTGAGCACAGGGGTCAAGTGCAAAGGGACACTGACAGTCTGAAGTCTAGCGTGCCCCTCTGGCCCCAAAAGTGGACTAGAAGAGATATTTCTCCTCCTGGAGACCAGCAGGCACGCAGGGGCCCGTGTGCAGGAGGGATCCCCAGACCGACCCTGGGAAGATGCAGAACAGTCTTGAGGGTCATGGAGTGGTGGGGAGGCAGGCACCCCTGGGCCCACAGGCAAACCCGAGTTTGAAAGGGATGTTTTGCACCTGCTGCAGATTAGCTGTGCTGCCTGCTGGAGTGTGAACTAAACCCAAAGGGCTTTGGGAAAATGGGCACACACTCAACAGTCACAGCCAGGACCCTTCAGCGGTTGGGTCAGGGCATTGGGTTGTCAGTTCAAATGGAACCAATAATATCAATCTACAACTTAGCTATGTAATAACATGGGCAAGAAGAACACGGCTGAGGACTGAGAAATAAGCAAAAAGAATGTCTTAAAAAAAAAAAAGAATGTCTTGAAATGGTCCAAAACAACATCTCAAAGTCCTCTTAAGCTTGTATACGCTCCTCAAAGGAAAGCCATTTGAACGCTTTTAGTGGGAAGTTTCCTGTTTTATTCTGTTTTCCTCTTTTAAGTTATTTCATTAACTAGAGGCCTGATGCACGAAATTCGTGCAAGAGTAGGCCTCCCTTCTCCCGGCTGCCGGCACCGGCTTCCCTCTGGCACCCGGGATCCTGGCTTCCCTCACAGCCCTGGCTTTGGACATCCGGTCTAATTAGCATATTACACTTTTATTATTATAGATAGTACTTCTTGCCTTTGTACTGTCTTTACCTTGGCTCATCCCGTTAGCTTAAGTACTGTGGATCCGAAAGAGACTGTAGTAGGGAGTGGGCTGATCATCTCATGACAACTCCTAAGCATAATAAGCATGTGCCCAAGGCAAGAGGGGAGGGGAGGGCCCACGTGGCAGGGTGACAAAATATCTGCAACCCAGAACCTTTAAAAGGAAACACATATGATTTGGCTTAGACCTGCCAGAACCTCACTAACGATCATTTTAAAACTTATGTTCCTAACAATAACAACCAGCTGTGTTAACCTATTTCTATTCGTGGACTGAATGCACGTAGAAATCAAATGGTTTGACTTCTATGTTCAGCTCCCAATTTAATCTCTGGTTTTCACAGATAAAAGATGTTCTCACTTTTTCTGCAATTTGCTGACAAAGTCATCACACTCTGACTCCAAGCTCATATTAGTTACAGCAGCTAAGTTGCTATATTAAAAAAAAATAGATACCAGCCTGGCCAGTGGTTGAACATCAACCTGTGATTCCTGGTCAGGGCACATGCCTGGGTTGCCGGCTCAATTCCCTGTGAGGGGCGTACAGGAGGCAGCCAATCAATGATCCTCTCTCATCATTGATGTTTCTATCTCTCCCTTCCTCTCTGAAATCATCTCTGAAGGTCTCATCCCGGTTCTCTTGTTCTCTTCTAACTAGAAAACAAGAGACTGTGTGTGATGTAAGAGAAAAGGAGAGACAGAGAAAGGAAAGCAGAAGTTACTGCATTTGGAGAATCAAGTAAAGACTTGAGGTATTGATTCTGATAATGCAGACACGAATCTGAGTTTGACCAAATTATCTGATTACCACATCACAATATCCAAGCGATTTCCTCACTTCGGTCTCAAGTCAGGGAAACAGTATCATAGAAATTGACATTTTGTCCACAGTTCAGAGCAGACTGATGGCACTCTTTATAGTGCTCTGAGAGGAGTTAAGGGGAAACTCGGAGCGAGTTTGGGGGAATAGAGGTGCCTCCTTTCTGCCAAACTACCTCCTCTGCCTCAGGGCAACTTCTTTCCTCTTTTCTGCTTTCTGTTTTCTCTCTCAGCCTAGGCATTCTTTTAATCTTCAGGAACTTAGAGAAGGATGGGGAAGGAGGGGAGCTCAGTGTCTCTGCTCTGAGACCTTCTCGCTTTGGGTCCCGTGCCCACCAGGTTGTCCCCCGAGTTTATCCAGTTGCACTGTCTCCTCTGTGGAAGCCTCGCAGCAACCCTTGTCAGGCAGTGAGAGAACAGCGGCGGGGTCATCGTTCCCATTGTGTGGATGGACACTGAGG